AAGCACTCTGGCAGTGAAGTTAGTGTGTTATGTGAGAGGTTTAAAAACTGCACCCAGGATTTGATATGAAACAGCCAAGATTCGTCGATTGTGCTCAAACGTAGTTTGCTCCAATTCACTTTTTTCTCCTTAACTCGACACGAGGTATTTACCAAAAGGTCTTTTAATACGGTCACCGAGTTTCCTAAATCGGGTAGCTTTATCGCAATGCTAGTGTAGTCTTCGATATTTTTTAAACTTTCCCTAAAAAAAAGAGAAGTACCATCATGATAATTACCGTCACTGGTGGAAAAAAAGATTTTACTTTCTGGGAGCGCAAGAGAACAATTTTCTATAAATAATCAAATCGACACTCGGACGCTGTGACTGTGTGACACTACTAAAAACATTAATTTCAATACACTGAGAGTCTTAATAATACTATTAGGAATATAACATGAAATTTTTACAAGAATATTTTTTTCTTTGTTGGGCAAATATTTTCTGCAGTTATACGCCGGTAATAAAAAAATTTAGTGATTGACCGATAATCGATATCCGGCCGAACTTTGCCTTATCGATAGACAACCGGAGTCGGTAAAATTATATATTTTTCCAATTGTCTAAAACCGATTGTTGAGAAAATATGCACTTTAAAAATTATATGCATTGCGGTTGATACACGTTGCATTTTAACGCAATATGTACTATTTAAAGGACGCGTAGGAGTGTTTTATCACATATAAAACACGACGCGTAGCGGAGTGTTTTATATGTGATAAAACACGACTACAAGTGCTTTAAATGGCTTCAAAAACGACTCATCTTATACGAGTTCATTGGCGAAGTAATTTTTAAAATAAACTTTGTCTAAACCGAGAAAATCAAAGCTAAAGTTTATGTAAATTAACATGATTTTTTATCACATATAAAACCACGACACGCTTGTGATTTTTCTTTGTGTTTTCCTCCTGAATTATCGAGTTTTTGAAGTACTATTTAAAGCACGCGTAGGAGTGTTTTATCACATATAAAACACGACGCGTAGCGGAGTGTTTTATATGTGATAAAACACGACTACATTGGCTACTAAAACACGACTACATTTATGTGATAAAACACGACTACATACGAGTTCATTGGCGAAGAAATTTTTAAAATAAACTTTTCTAAACCGAGAAAATCAAAGCAAAAGTTTATGTAAATTAACGTGATTTTTTATCACATATAAAACCACGACACGCTTATGATTTTTCTTTGTGTTTTGCTCCTGAATTATTAATGAGTTTTTTAAGTTAAATTAATGTGTGAAGCGTGCCATTTATTAACGGTTTTAACAATCTTTGGTTGCAGTAACATTTGATGTTGAAAAATCGACATGAATGACGTCACCTTCACTCGGGTCGACAGATATTATAAAATCGGCATCGGGTAGATCGTTGCATGAATAATCGCGGTAATCGGTAATTTTCCGATTGTTGCACGTTCATTATTACGATACTGAGATGTTCTCCAGTTTGGTTGTATTTGCTGTGATTCGACCACCTCTTGTTGTTGTATAAACAACGTACTGGCTTCAATAGCATCATTTGCATTTGATAATTTGGATAGTTTTGTTTACTTTTATTATTAATATCTTTATTTTTTGAAGTAGACATGCATGGGTTTTTGTTTGGTGGCCCAACTGTGGACATACAAAAAATTTGGCGGCCCATCGAAACTGCCCAAAGATTTTCCATGACCCATCCCAAATCACTCCAGCCCACCCTAGCAGTTACTTTACGACCGGCCCTAACCCCCGAGTGGCAGCACTCTCCACTTGACGAGTAAAATCGTCTGGCGTTAGACAGAGTAAAATAATCTGGCGTTAGACAGAGTAAAATAATAAAGTAGGGCGCATCAGGGTGCATTATAAAATAACATGTATATAACGCGTGCTCTGATTGGTCGAAACCCGTGTTTGGATCAGGCCATCCAAACACGGAAGACTATCGTGTTGTTGTTATTTTATAAAACAATTTCTTTATGGTTTCCGTGTTTGGATGACCTGATCCAAACACTTGGGAATGTTGCTCGAGTTAAGAAAAGCGGGCAAAATCACTCGCCTTCGGCTCGTGATTTCGCTCGCTTTTCTTAACTCTCGCAACATTCCCGCGTGTTTGGATCAGGCCATCCAAACACGGAAACCATAAAGTAATTGTATATTGCCAAGGGTTAATCTTTAATTTAAAGGTTAATTTAAAGGGTTAATCTTACTTACCTAATGTTCTCCTTTCTTACCTAATGTTCTCAACAACAGTTCCAATCGGCACACTCTCATCAACGAACATCTGCAACCATTCGTAACAGTCCAAACTCTTGTCTAACAACGCTTCCAAGACGTTAACATTTCCCTGCAAGGCTGCATAACAAAGCAACAACAATGCAGAGATCTTATAATGACCATTTCTTATCGAGATACACGCACTCTCCTTTATTTTCTTCGCCCCAAATACCAAGAGCATACAGGCCGCGTCGAAGTTTCCCCTGTGACATGCTTCGATTAACGCATCGTCAAAACAGGTCGGCGTGATGTCTTTTGTTGACGTTTCTTCAAGAAGACCCTGCAGTTCTTGCGGATTTTTCCCAGCTGCTCTGATAATCTCTATTATAGTAGTACAGAAATTAACCCAATGAGTCTGGTGTTAGACAGACAATAAAGTAATCTGGCATTAGACAGAGTGTAAAATAATAAGCGGTTGGCTATACTCAAGCCTTAAAATATCTTTTACAAATGTCCGATGACTTTGGGTTGAACATATGTATGTCCAATGACCTTCAGTTCAGTTTGGCTCGGAAATAAGTCTGAACGACACAAATTAATATCAGCACAATGTGTTAATTCTGAACAGTAATTATGTTGGAAAATATTTATTAATTTTATATAATTTGTGTCATTCTTACTTATTGCCAAGCCAAAATTTTAACTTGCTTGCCAAGAACAGCAGTATAGACTTCAACAACTTAAGCCCGTTGTCCACTTCACCATTTCGCTCGCCGCTCCGCCCTTCGAGTTCACTTTTTATACACTACTCACTACTCTGATTCTCCATTTACAGCAACATACGAGCCTCTAGTCCTGGACTAGGGTACATTTTGATTTACGTTGGACAAACAGAGTTCGTAGTCTCCAAGACCAAAAAAAGACTTTCAAAGATTTTTTCGGCCTATTGTCAAAGACTTTTCAAAGACCTTTGGTGTCGAAAAATTGCGATGTATAAGCACCATTTTTACACAGTAATTAGTCCCGTCAAATCACATCCTAAAATGCACTTTTTCGTCGATATTTGCGAAAATCTTGCTTCAATCAATCTAAATTTTATTAGCTAGGAAATCGTATAATCAATTCCTCACTGAAAAATTTAAAGACTTTTAAAGGCTTTCTTCGCTTTTTCACACACTTCAAAGACTTTTCAAAGACCTTAAAGACCTGCATTCAAATTTAAAGACTTTCAAGGATTTCAAAGACCGCTACGAACCCTGACAAAGCTACAGTTCGGTCTGACACCAATACACTCGGGTGGTTTCCTGTCTATATCAGACAATGTCTATGCAGCCATATCAACCGATGTCATATGTTCTTCTAATTTGCAATTTGAAAAGTAGTGAATAGTGGTTGTTCCTTGAAAATTAATCGACTACTTCGCTGCTGAAACAATGTGGTTCGCTACCGCCACAACTACTGTTTTAAAAAAGTAGTCAAAAACTACTCGCTACTTGTAAATCGTGGTCCGCTACAGTAGCGAAACGTACATAAAACGAAACAGAACGGCGAACATGCAGATTCGGCCATCTCAAATAATGGTAATGTTGGAATAGTTAGATAGTAGCGTTGCAGACTGCAGAGGAGAGTGAGCAGTAAGGCTCCCTCATGCACCACCTCCTTACAATCTTACTGGAAAGCTCACATCAGAAGCGGATCTGCCCTCACTTGTTAGAGGGGGTGGGGTTTTCCAGAGGGGGGCAGGGTTCGAGGGCATTCTCCCCTCCCCCAAAAAAAAAAAAAATTGAAATTTGAAACCCAGAAATGTCATTTCCTGCATTCTGAGTACTACATTAAATTCGTTAAATTTGTCCTCACAGCACTTGTATTTTGGGAAAAAATTATGAAAAGTGTTACTGTATGTTATATGGTGACCTGCTGTATTGGCGCTTGAATATTTTTTCGCGTATTCGAAAATCAGTCCCTTCAATATAATAGGTAGTATTCACAACTTAAATATGGAATACCAGAGTTTACTTTAAGGGGGTGCTGGCAGGAGCATAACAGAGGAAGAGGGGGCCCGTAGGCATATTTGGTGTGGGGGCCCCTGTTGTCATTGTTTGACTGAGATATTATATTTATATTGAACATTTATAGAATGTTCTGGAAAATTCTGTGTCTATAACAATGACAATAATAGTCTCCAACATATGTGACAACTTTTAAGAATAACTTTTGTTTAATTTGAGTTGGAATAAAAAAATCAGCTACCGTCGTCGATGGAGGCTTGATTATTTAGCATTATTAATTTCGCATTTTCCCATTGATTCTTCACCTGCACTTTTTATGTTTTCTAATTTTCTGGGCGATAGGCCGTGGATGGGGCACCTAACTGTCGGGGGACCTTAGTTTTTGAACCAACCCTAACCAATGAGCGCTACGCCACTGGGTGCAGGAGACCACTAGGGGAAGGGGGGACCCCCTGCACCCTCTGGTAGATCTGCCCCTGGCTCACATAACCAACAACGTCTTACAATTTTATAAATACCTGCACTTTTTAAACACTTGGCAGATTCTTTTCGTTTGTGTTGCATTGCAGTTTGATACGGAGTTTTACTGAAATCGTCCAATGCCTTGATGTTGGCACCATTTTTCAACAACACCTAAACACAAATTATACTGGATTTTATTAAAAAACAAACAAATGTTCACCTATTAATTGGCATGCCCCATCCAGTGCCGCTAAGAGGGGCGCAGGGGTGGGGGAAACCAGCTCAAAAGCCCCCCCCCCAAAAAAAAATTTATTTGGAAAAATTTAAGTTGTGAAAAAAAACCCAATTTTTTTGAACTGGCATGAACCATTTTCATAGCGTGATCGCATTATACCTTGGGCTGCCCCAAAACCAGGAGGCCATCTGAACTGGCAACTCTGCAAATGTCATCACAAAAAAAAACAGGGGTGCTGGGGGGGGGGGGTGCAAAGGGGGCATAGTTTTTCCTAAGGGGGGCAAAGGTGCCCTTTACGATTTAGGAAAATATTTGAGATATTTTAAAAAATCATTACATGTTCACTTCATGAGGCAAAAATTATGAACCCATTGAAAAGGGCCCTAACATGAAATCCATCCCCCCACCCCCGCACACCACCACTCACGTCGTTCCAACGTCCCTGCAAAAACTGATATAATTGTTTATTTCATTTTCAGTGGCATTATCTTTGCCTATTTGTACCAAAAAGTGCAAGGATTAATTGAGCTGCTGAACAGTATTTGACTGTCTCACAAGAGAAACAAACCTTGATGCATTTCACATAATCCATGGATGCAGCAATATGCAATGGCGTATAATTCCCATTGGCCATCGCGTCCACATTGCCACCATAGATAAGCAACAGTTGTAAGATATCATCATGACCCTGACACGCAGCTTCGTGTAGTGGAGTATAGCCCAAGAAACCAATACGTTGATCCAGCCTGTTCGCGATATCCGAGTCCTTTTGCAAGATCTCTCGCACTTTTCGGAGATGCCCTTTTGCACAAGCATCGTGCAGACTTTTATCTTGCCTTGTTGACATTCCTTGGTTTAAACCTTGCTAGAATTTATTATCATGATAAAAGCATCTTCTAAAAAATTCCTAAGGAAACAGAGGTAGTAATAAGTAGGAAGTTTTATTGTACCGTAACCACAATACCATCTGTTTTGTGTTACAATATTGTGAAACACCAACAACTAGTCTACCAAACACGTGCAACATATTAAAAGAATTTACAATTAAGTTTTTTTTATGTAGACTACTCTCTGCTGGATATTGTAAAACGACAAAAACTTAATAAACTATTTTCGGCTATTATGGGCTCGGACCGGGAGAACCCGGGGGCCCCCAGTTTCACCAATGGGGCCACCAGGCTCAGGCTATAGCCTATAGAGCAACAATGTTGTTTTCAGACCATCAGAATTCTGTAAAATCTCTCCCTAAAGCAGGGCTGCAAATTACTGTCAGACATCGGACAATGTCCGACTAAATTTGGCAAATGTCCGAGCAAAAGTAACTTTGGCACTCGACTTGTGCCTCTGGCACTTCTATTAGGGGGGCTTTCGAAAAGTTTGAACCGGGGGCCCCCTGATATAACGTTACGCCACTGTGTTCGGCAAAGGTGCGTCACTTATTTGAGAACAGCACTTATTTGGTGAGCGGCATTTAATCGGTCATTTACAGTAAACAACATTTTAAATTCTTCACAGAAGCAAACTAGCTCTGTTTTGAGACTTGATTGTTCAGCCCAGGGCTGAGATTTCATCCTTGGTTTGAGCTGAAATGTGAACTCATGTAATCGTGAAACAATTTCAGCTTGGTTAACTGGGCTAAAATTAAGCCCAGGCTGAGAACTCTCCATATAATCATCCACTTGCTTTAATATAACACGATTAAAGATATGTATGGTCTAAATGTATCAATTAATAATCACTGTATGTAGTACCTAAAATATTTAATAAATTGAACTATGTAATTCCTTTGCAACTGTGAGACAAAATCTGCTCATAAATGTAATAATAAATATCAATGCCCAGCATATTACTGTAAATGTCCGTATAAATAATACCCATAACAAAGAGAAATTTTCATAAAATTTAATTATTTACAGCCATAAAAAACCTGATAATCCTACAAAATTGTCTTAGGGAAAGGCTTCAACATGTTTACTAACAATAATGAATTGGCATGGGCAGTTTTAGCATAGAAATACTACAAATAAATACAAGTTTAATAATATAAACAGAGATACAGTATACTCACATTACGCAGGTCTATTTAACATACAACACGTAAAATATCATTCGTCCATGTTGTAAACGAACATTTCTATCCAAAACAGATTCTTGTGGTCTCCCTTGTCTATTCAAATGTTCAACTTGTGTCTTGTGACTTGCTCAAGGAGATTTATAAAGCAAAAAAATAATGCAAAATATGCACTTATGTAAAGATGAAGTACGCGCAAACCTGAAAACATGGAAACAGGAAGTGCACAAAACCCCTGGGAGTTTGCATGTGACTTTCCGGTGACCTCAGTCACAATCAGTCACTGATCTCAGTGTCGAGTAGCCTGCTCGCAGGCCGTTGTCAGGCATAGAGCCTGTGAGCAGGCTAAGTGTCGAGTGACAAAATATTTTCACGGTAACCAGGGAGCGTACGAGGGGAGGGGGACGAGACAAACATTTTCCGGTCATAATTCCAACGTACAATGAACGTTAACGTTTTTGACAATTTTTAAAAAAACATCGAAATTTCCTCGCAAAAATGGCACCTTCGAGCCTTCGATGTTTTAACATCTAAAACATAGTATTTACAGCAACATTAGCTTGTACAAAAAGGGCACTTTTCATCACAAAAAACGGCACTATGAACACATTTGTGTGTGTGTGGGGGGCAGTGGCGTAGCAAACTCGATAATTGGGGGGGCACATATTCATATATTCGTGTTCACTGACCTTAAAAACAATTGATTTCAAAAGAAATTAATAAGGCAGAACACGAATATATGAATATGTGCCCCCCCAATTATCGAGTTTGCTACGCCACTGGTGGGGGGGGGGGACGTTACCCCTGTGCCCCCGGTTCCCGCGCCCCTGACGGTAAGACAATGAAATTTTATTGAGTTTTACTGTAAAACTATTATGTCATGTGGAACTGAAAGTCTGAAATGATAACTGAGGGGGGCTGAACATGATAAAGATGAAAGGATTCCGTATTTATTTTTGGTTCTAGTAATTCTTAGTCATTCTTCAATGGATGGTTCCATCTATAGACGAAATTTTGATCTCGACAAAAAGAACGAGCCATTATCATATTAACTGGAAAGAGCATCTCAAAATGAGTATAATTGCAAAGTTTGGTTGCAAATTGTTGTAAAATGAGCAAAGTAGTAGCCCTTTGAAGTTCGCAAATTTGTATATACTTCAATTTAATACCGCGGAAAAATAACCATTTTTGAGCCGAAAGTGGTTGTTTTTACCGCGCGTAATACAAATTAATATGTACAAAAATTTGCGAACTTCACAGGGCTATATTTTTTCATTTTACAACATTTAGCAATTAACCAATCCGTGGCAGTTTTACTCATTCTATCACGCGCTCTTTCTAGCTGTGGTGTTGGATTTCGTTCGTCTTGCCTCAGTGATCAAAATTTAGTTCGCAGTAATTGTTCCCGAAATGAGAATGTGCTGAAACTTCCCAGGCATGGTGTTTATGATATACTTAAAGTAAAATCACACAAAAAAGTCGGGGTCACCGAACTCGTTAAGAAGATATGACAATCACAATATACCACCTTTACCCCAATATGGCGCCTTCTTGACGCTCATAATACGAGTAACAGCAAAACGGCAACAGCCCGATATTTATTGACGTTTTTAGCGCGGATTTTGCTTTAGTAAACCTATCTTGCAATTATTTTTGAAAACATATTGCGTTTTGAGCAAAATGAAACTACTGTGTACAATTCTGATCCACAAATGTCTTTTCCACATTTCTTTACATATCTTTCTTTGTGAACATGCATTGATAAAGGATTTTTTTTCAAGATCCAGAAATGATTTTTCTTTTAATTTCGGATATGAAATGTAAATACATTAAATAAATTATCAGTTAAAAAACGGGGGTCACCGATCTTTTTAGGGAATTGTGGCATTAAAACGTGAAAGAAATATACTACAGACACAGGACCCTAGCTACACTTTTGTATGCCTTTGTTGAAAACATTGATTTTAACGTAATTCTTTGCACGAATGTAACCGAAGATGCTTTGAAGTAACATAAAATTGTCGTAAAATGATATTTTTAAACGGTACGTATAATGGATGAAATTATAAGTTATATAAGATGTTCCAATCATTGGCGTAACGCACATTGGGTAGGGTTAGTTCAAAAACTAAGGGCCCCCGACAGTTAGGGGTCCCGATCAGCCACGGTCTATCGCCCAGAAAATTAGAAAACGTAAAAATGCAGGTTAAGAATCAATGGGAAATTGCAAAATCAATAATACTAAATAATAAAACCTCCATTGACAGCGGATATTTTTTATTCTGATCTCAAATAGAACAAAAGTTATTCTTGTTAATTGTTACATGTATTGGAGACTGTTTTTGTTATTGTTTATATAGATACGATATTTCATGTTGGAGCCACATACATGACCTAATAGTATGATCATAGTAATCAAGTACAGATTACTAACATCATTACCGCATCATTTCAACACTACAGTTGCAAAGAACTTTCCAGGTTATCAATATGCAATCTGCAAAAATATTGGGAGGTCAGCCCCTCAAATCGCCATGAAATTTTTAACAAGGGAGTTTCAGCCCTCCCCCCCCCCCGAACTCCAAACTAGAGGGCCTGGCCCCCCTCTTCTGCACCTCTGACACAAAGCCAGATTATATTTAACCAGAGACGTCACGCCAACCTCGTGTAAAATGGGTGGGTGGGAAAAAATGCGCGCAAATTAAAACAAAAGAGAAAAGGTTGTGTAAAGTGGAAATCAAAGAACTCCACAAAAATAAATTCAGCACAAGCAGATTTTCGGGGAAAAAATTGGTTGAAATATATTTCACCCTTTTTTTAATTAATTTTACAATTATAACAATTGAAGGGACAGGCAACAGGGCAAATAAAGTCCTAAATTAAGTCCTGCCTGACATGCTACATTACAACATTATTTAAATTAACAATTCACATTATATATGTACATCATTAAAATTTGCTAAAATGTACTTTCAAACAATTTAAAAAGCAAGAACGACACTTACAACAAAGGTCTTTGGTCTATCAACATCAAAATATGCATTAAGTTTCTCAGTATAATGTTTGAGTTTAGTTTGGTTCAGTACCAGTCAGGGCATTTTTTAAGAAATTGCATCTACTGGGGCAAAGTCTCGATGCGGGCCTTTTTCCCACACAGTTATCTGTGCTCAGGGGCGGTGCTAGTCCTATTTGAATGAGGGGGGGGGGGGGGGGGGGG